CGAGGGCCGGCTGCATCCGCCAAGCACCTCTCCCACCCTCCAGAAGGATATTTTGTTCTTTAGTATTTTCAATTTATTTTTTTTTTCCCCCACCATTACTCCCCTCTCCCCATCCCCCGGTTTTTCTGTAGGAAACTTTCAGGCAGAAGAGCAGCCAGTGGTTTTCTTGTATACAAAGCAGAAGGAGCTGCTACAGCTCAGCCCCATAACCACTTCGCATTTTGAAGGTGTTCTATTTAACCCATCGCTAGCTGCAGAGCTGCTCCAGCAGCAGCCCAGGGTGGCACATGAAACGACTGGATCCAGAGCCTACAAAACTAAAAGCAAACCTGACAGGGAAACCTAAGCCACACACACGGAAAAAATTAACTCATTGCTCACAGCTGTAGTTTTCCACCAGACTAAAGGCAACTCAAATTACTCTGACTCCAGCAACTCATGTTATACAACAAGTAACTTTCAATGCATTCCTATTCAAGGCTTCCTTGGCATCCACTAAAATGTTAAGCTGTCCCTAGAGTTTCCCATTCTAATATTAGCTGTACCAATGCCGCCTGATAGGATTGAGCTGTTTCCAAGTTCCTAAAATCCAGCCCTTTATCTTCCTAAAGTACGGCCGCCCGGTTTTGCAAACGCTTGACGGGCGCGGGATGTGGCTCGTGTGACTGCTATTAGGACTTCAAGCTTTTGCAGGAGAAGAGCTTTCAACTACAAGAAAAGGAAGCTTAAGTTCCTCTTGCATTATTGGTGTGTTATTGCAATTACACTGAGCAGTAAGCAAAACCTCCTGGAGCTGGAGCAGTCAAAGAACACTACCGAGGAAGAGGTGTGGGAAGAGGCCGTCTGCCGCAGGAGGGGGGCACAGAATTCACAGATCGAATTATTTCACATTAAAAAAAAAAACAAAACAAACACCCTAACACCTACACAAACACCTACATTTTCTAGGCTAGTTAAGAGTCAAGTTCCTAACAAAAACTCTCCAGATCTTTGCAATCCAGCACAAAGGTTAGTCTGAGCCACGCTTCTGGAGGGACCTCTGTATTTTTGCACATCAGGTGGGGAACAGAGACTGCAGACAGTAGATTTGCTGAGCGTGTTTTAAACTTCAAAGGGAAGGAGACAAAAACGCACCAGCCTGCGCATGGGAGGCGGAAGCAACCAATGGCGTTCGCCCTTGCAGCAGCAGCACGGGCAGCCGACCAATGAGAGAGGCCGTTTCATAGCGGCCCCGGCTGGCAGAGGCTGGGCTCCCGCCCGCCGCGCGGAAAAGCGCCTCGGCCCCTGGGCCCGGCCGGCGGAGCCGCCCCCGGCCCGGCCGCGGGACCCAGGGTGGCACATGAAACGACTGGATCCAGAGCCTACAAAACTAAAAGCAAACCTGACAGGGAAACCTAAGCCACACACACGGAAAAAATTAACTCATTGCTCACAGCTGTAGTTTTCCACCAGACTAAAGGCAACTCAAATTACTCTGACTCCAGCAACTCATGTTATACAACAAGTAACTTTCAATGCATTCCTATTCAAGGCTTCCTTGGCATCCACTAAAATGTTAAGCTCTCCCTAGAGTTTCCCATTCTAATATTAGCTGTACCAATGCCGCCTGATAGGATTGAGCTGTTTCCAAGTTCCTAAAATCCAGCCCTTTATCTTCCTAAAGTACGGCCGCCCGGTTTTGCAAACGCTTGACGGGCGCGGGATGTGGCTCGTGTGACTGCTATTAGGACTTCAAGCTTTTGCAGGAGAAGAGCTTTCAACTACAAGAAAAGGAAGCTTAAGTTCCTCTTGCATTATTGGTGTGTTATTGCAATTACACTGAGCAGTAAGCGAAACCTCCTGGAGCTGGAGCAGTCAAAGAACACTACCGAGGAAGAGGTGTGGGAAGAGGCCGTCTGCCGCAGGAGGGGGGCACAGAATTCACAGATCGAATTATTTCACATTAAAAAAAAAAACAAAACAAACACCCTAACACCTACACAAACACCTACATTTTCTAGGCTAGTTAAGAGTCAAGTTCCTAACAAAAACTCTCCAGATCTTTGCAATCCAGCACAAAGGTTAGTCCGAGACACGCTTCTGGAGGGACCTCTGTATTTTTGCACATCAGGTGGGGAACAGAGACTGCAGACAGTAGATTTGCTGAGCGTGTTTTAAACTTCAAAGGGAAGGAGACAAAAAGCACATCCAGCCACGCTCACGTCTTCTATGTTTTGTAAGGAACAGAGATGCTCTAAATCAAAAAAAAACAAAACAAACACCCTAACACCTACACAAACACCTACATTTTCTAGGCTAGTTAAGAGTCAAGTTCCTAACAAAAACTCTCCAGATCTTTGCAATCCAGCACAAAGGTTAGTCCGAGACACGCTTCTGGAGGGACCTCTGTATTTTTGCACATCAGGTGGGGAACAGAGACTGCAGACAGTAGATTTGCTGAGCGTGTTTTAAACTTCAAAGGGAAGGAGACAAAAAACACATCCAGCCACGCTCACGTCTCCTGGGTTTTGTAAGGAACAGAGATGCTCTAAATCAATTCTGATTTTGCAAATGGGACAAATTTATACAGGAATCCCGTTCCCTGATGTGTGGGCTCCCCGTCCAAACGAGCTCGGCAAGCAGGAAAAGATCTGCGGAAACCTTCTGCAGGGAGCTAGGAACTGGCTGGGTGCGGCTCTTCAAAACGAGCTAGAACAGGTCAGATATGGGTGGGGATTAGAAAGAATGCTCTCTCAGAAGCTGCTCTGAGCAGACTGAAATACAACCATTTTGTGGATTAAGTGCCTATTCCCCAGCTTCAGGCTCCCAGGGAGGCGAGGGCCTGAATATGGTGGGTCCGAACTTAAGGCACAGCTACACCAGGATGTACAAAGGGTTTAGTAACATCTATCACCTCCCAGCCCTTCTATCTCAAGAAATCCCAAAGGATGTAAGAAACCAAGCGTTCATCTTGTTCTCCCCTGTGTAGCTCAGGAGGACACACGTGCACGGACACATGCCTACACTGCGGTGCTCAGTCCTCAAGATGAAGGGAGCCCCGTTAATGGCAGGTAAGTCAAATGGATCCTACAGAAAATTAAAACTACAAATACCAAGACATTCAGATACATGTAACGTGGTTGATATTTTTCTGACTCTGAGGGAGGGGGGAAAAAACCAACCCCAAACAGAAAACTCTGAAGTAATACTTGCCACTGTCCTGCTGATGGAAGCCGAGGCGCCCTGCCCTGCGCCCTGCCGGAGGGCACGCTCAACGGGCAAGAGCGAGACACAAGGAATATCCTGTGCTGCAGGAACTACCCACGCTTCTACAGAAGGACAGATCGTCACCTCAGACGCCAGGACTCGGGGTCCTGTGCTGGGGGGAGCCGATTAAATGAATAAAGTTTTTAACATTTGCCCCCTGCACACCCCGCCACGGGGTAACACACATCACATCGCAACCCACCACCCACGTTATAAAGCTTCAGCTCTCCACGTTTCAACTCCTGGCAGCGAACAACCGTAACTGTTCTCACCACAATGCATCCTTACAACTCCCTTGTATCACCCTCTTTTTTTTTTTCCGTTCCCGGGGGAAGGGACGGGACGGACACACTGGAGTTTTATTCACTTTGTTCTCCCGCTTATTTCAAATGGGAGGAATAAAAGCATCCATGCCAAAACCAACATACAACAAGGATAAAAAGCAGCTCCAGAAAACACGGGCTTCGTTAGCGCGCAGGAAATACAACAAAGGGTAGGTGCTGCCTTTTGAACCCTTCCCAGCAAGCCAGATCCATCTGGCAGAGCTCATCTCCTCCGCTACCAGATGGGCCAGTCTCCTTCCAAAGGCAGCGGCATCAAAGCTGGAGAAAGCAGCGGAGCAGAGAGGAAAGCCCGTGGCCTTTATCCCTCTAAGGAAACTGTAATATCCCTGCTCCAGGGCCACTTGCCGGGCCAGGCTCTAATTGCCCGAGATGCAGGAGGATGGGGCTTGTTCCAGATGTCACACCTGGCCTCGCAGCTACCAAAGCCAAGGGGAACACAGGCAGTTCGAGGAGCAATGGTCACAATGGGGCTTGTCTCTGGTGGGACTGAGACGCCCTCGCCACTTGAGGTAACGCGAGGACAAGAGTATTCACTTGATGCTTGAATACCTCCTGCTTTCCATGAAACCGATCCCCTTCCACTGACACCCCCCATGGATGTCAACGTGTGAGGACACTTCCTGACAGCCGAGTTCAGAGATGGCTATTTATGTGACAGCGTGGATTCAAGGAGCTCCCAAGTGTAAACGATGCTATTTAAAAGAGGGGTCTTTCTGGTTGTTTTTTTGTTGGTTTTGTTTTGTTTTTTAAAAAGGAGGAAAAATGACTCAGTAGAAGTGGCAAGGTGGGTTCCTTATTTATTGTTCCTCAAGGATTTCTAGGTCACAATTGCTCAGATGAGAAGCAGAAGTCCTGGTGAGCGAAGAGGGCAGATATTCCCCTTGGTCTGAAGTGTAATAGGGACAGTGCAGACAGTGAGGGGACACTGGAGCTTTCACAAAGCCAAGTCCCAGCTGTACCCTTTCTTTAGCATACGGGATGCTGTCCACGCTCCTCTCCTCAACATCAACCACCAGCACATGAGAGAGGAACCGAGGACCCGCTCTCCTGCACCCAGGCTCAGCCCCTATGATGCCAGGCTGCAGCATGCTTTACCAGTTTTGCAATGAAAGTTCAGAGCCAGCCAACCTGGACAGATGGATGGATGGACACCCCGTAGGCACCGTGAGAAAGAAACAGTGTTCTTAGGCTCACAAAATTCAAAGCTCAATTCTTTCACCAGTTGCACAACTGGCATCCCACCCCTGAACTATTAA